AGCATAAACCAGCACATGACCAGCATAAACCAGCAAAAGGACCAGCATAAACCAGCACATGACCAGCATAAACCAGCAAAAGGACCAGCATAAACCAGCACATGACCAGCATAAACCAGCAAAAGGACCAGCATAAACCAGCACATGACCAGCATAAACCAGCAAAGGACCATCTTAAACCAGCAAAGGACCAGCATAATCCAGCATCCCAGCGTCAAAACATACCTAACCAGCATATGCTGTTTTTTTCAACAGGGAAAGGTCTCATTTATTTTATTATTCACGGTTCACAAGTCAATTTATGTTGCGATTATGGTCCTACAAAACAATTATCATTTGTGAGGTGATTATTTCCCTTTACAGCTCTGACACTGATTGTCTAATGGTAAAAATACCCTAAACCAGCTTAAGGTTCATGGTGTACCTACAAACTAGGGTTCCTATGAACTCCCATGACGGCTGTAAAAAAAAAAAAAAAAAAGCAATGTAATTACCAAAAGCTATTCCCAGTTGACAAGTACCTCAGGCCAATTCATAAGGGAAAGGGTCTCATTTATTTTATTATTCACGGTTCACAAGTCAATTTATGTTGCGATTATGGTCCTACAAAACAATTATCATTTGTGAGGTGATTATTTCCCTTTACAGCTCTGACACTGATTGTCTAATGGTAAAAATACCCTAAACCAGCTTAAGGTGCATGGTGTACCTACAAACTAGGGTTCCTATGAACTCCCATGACGGCTGTAAAAAAAAAAAAAAAAAAGCAATGTAATTACCAAAAGCTATTCACAGTTGACAAGTACCTCAGGCCAATTCATACTGTAGTTTGACTAGTGTCCAACAAAATAACTATTATTGTAGGCGATTATCTCCTATTAAAAGCTCTGACAGTGTCAAAACTGAAGCTGACAATGCCTGTCCAAGGCTAAGACACTTACAGCAATAAGGACATAATTCCCCCAAAGTCCCACAACTGTTCAATAATGGGTCTATTGGAAACATAAATATGCAGAAAACTATTATTCCTGAAGAGAAGGTCATTTTAAGAGTGAATAGTTGTGGACAAAGTTCTTAAAATTTGAATTTACCTCATGTGACAATATGGTTGCCTTGAAAGGGTGCAACTACTAAAGTGTCCTTAAGTAACTAGGTAATTAAAATGTAGAGGAGGCCATTTGAAATGGTTCACAACTGCATCTCCTGTTAGGGCCAGTGAGCTCTTGCTGGATTGATCGCACAGCATGGCGGGATGGAGTGACAGATGTGCTAAACGTACACGACATGTCACTGTGTAATCCCCTGAAAAGACAGAGGAGGGGGCGAGGGAGAGAGCGAGAGTAGGCAATCAAGCCAGAGCAGTGATTGCGAGTGAAGAGAAACAAAGGGAGGGAACGGCTGGTGGATTATCAGCTAAGAATCATCAGCATATCCCAGCGCAATACTCTAGTGTCACAAATGGACGCTAGTAACGAGGACACTGATGGCCTTTAGCATCCAAACAACCACTCAGATCATAACTTTGGTAACTTTGTGTATAATTAGGCCTAATTATTGTTTTACATTTTAAAACCAAGGTAAACTATAAAAGATGTAAACCAGGATTTGAGGATTAGTTATGTTGGCACTATAAACACTAAATTTGCTTTATTAAACATGTAGCAATTGGTATAATATCAGTGATTGCCTGCAGGCTGGTCCGGATGAATAGAATAGAATAGAATAGCCACAATTCCCTTAAAACATTTATCGCATCAAAACAAAATAAAATAAAAAATAAATCTTAATTTTTAACATTTCCCAAAACAGGCTGGTCAGGATGCTCAAACAACCAATGCTCTGGTATTACCACAGAGAGAAAAATAAATAACATAAAATAGCCACATTTCCCTTAACATAATATTTATCCCATCAACACAAAATAAAATTAAAAAGCTACATTTCTAACATTTCCAAAACAGGCTGGTCAGGATGCTCAAACAAACAATGCTTTGATAATACCACAGAGAAAAAAAATACAATTCCTCTAGCAAAACATTTATCCCAACAAAATAAAAAAGCTACATTTCTAACATTTCCTATAACAAAATATTTTTGCAATCATAAACTGACCAGCCTATATTTTTCTAAATATTCTGGATTGCAATTGTTTTTGTTCTTCCACTACAGATAAACAAAGAGAAATAAAATAAAAAAATAAAATGAAAAAGCCACATTTCCTAAAATAATATACTTATCCCATCAAAACAAACTAAAAATAGCTACATTTAACTTTTCCCATAACAAAACACTTATCCCACCATAAACTGATCAGTCTGTATTTTTCAAAACATCTGGATTGCAATTATTTATGTTCTTTTGCTACAGAGAACTACAGTGAAAAATAAAACAAAACAAGATCATAAAATAGCTAGATTGCTAACATTTCCCATAAGAAAACATTTATTAAACATTAAAGTGTGTTAAAGCCTTCTGTCTCTGATCTAATCCCTAATGATGGCCCGGGTCATAGAAGCTTCCATAGAGCAGCGCTATGGCTCACGGCTGGGGTTCTTACATAATCCCCCGCATGAGGCCGCCGGCCCTGTCAGACAGAGTTACATCTGCATCCAGGAGCTCAAAGCCTCCAGCCGCACTTCTGCTACTCATTTACACACTGTGAGCTGACAATTATATTACAATATACTCTAGCAACAGGCAGAAATGATCTACACTCTTAAAAATAAAGGTGCTTCAAAAGGTTCTTCAAGCGATGCCATAGAAGAACCATTTTTGGTTCCACAAAGAACCATTCAGTCAAAGGTTCTTTAAAGAACCATCTCTTTCTTACCTTTTTATAATCTGAAGAACCTTCTTTTGCCACAAAGAACCTTTTGTGAAACAGATGTTAAAGGTTCTTTATGGAACCATTTAGACAAAAAGGTTCTTCTATGGCATCGTGAAGCACCTTTATTTTTAAGAGTGTATGGTATATATATATATATCCTTCTCCATCAATTGCTCAGTTTTGCCAGGAGGCCAGCTGTAGGAAGAGTCCTGGTTGTTCCAAATGTCTACCATTATGGATAATGGAGGCTACATGCTTCTGTGAACCTTCAATGCAGCAGAATTTGTGAACCTTCAATGCAGCAGAATTTTTTTCTGAACTCTTCCCCAGATGTGTGGTTTGATGCAATCCTGTCTCTGAGCTCTACAGGCAGGTTTTTTTTTTTTGTTTGTTTTTTTACCTCAGGGCTTGGTCTTTGCTCTAAAATGCATTTTCAGCTGTTAGACCTTTTATTAAGTCGTGTGCGCCTTTCCAAATCATACCCATTCAATTGAATTCGCCACAGGTTAGCGTCACTCAAAGTGTGGTAACATTTACAAGCAAAATTAATATATATATATATATATATATATATATATATCCTTCTCCATCAATTGCTCAGTTTTGCCAGGAGGCCAGCTGTAGGAAGAGTACTGGTTGTTCCAAATGTCTACCATTATGGATAATGGAGGCTACATGCTTCTGTGAACCTTCAATGCAGCAGAATTTTTTTCTGAACTCTTCCCCAGATGTGTGGTTTGATGCAATCCTGTCTCTGAGCTCTACAGCCAGGTTTTTTTTTTTGTTTGTTTTTTTACCTCAGGGCTTGGTCTTTGCTCTAAAATGCATTTTCAGCTGTTAGACCTTTTATTAAGTCGTGTGCGCCTTTCCAAATCATACCCATTCAATTGAATTCGCCACAGGTTAGCGTCACTCAAAGTGTGGTAACATTTACAAGCAAAATTAATGCTCCTGAGTTAAATTTCAGTTTTTTTTTTTTGTTTGTTTTTTTACCTCAGGGCTTGGTCTTTGCTCTAAAATGCATTTTCAGCTGTTAGACCTTTTATTAAGTCGTGTGCGCCTTTCCAAATCATACCCATTCAATTGAATTCGCCACAGGTTAGCGTCACTCAAAGTGTGGTAACATTTACAAGCAAAATTAATGCTCCTGAGTTAAATTTCAACTGTCCCAGATCATTTAAGTTTTTTTTATCTTTAATAAATTTGCAAAGATGTTAAAAACCTGTTATTTGCGTTGTCATTATGGTGTATGGAGTGTATATTAATGAGGAGAAAAAAAGTAATTTAAAGCAGTTTAACATAAGGCTGCAACAAAACGAGAAAAATAATTGAATACTTTCACAAGGCACTGTATGAATGTATGTATATATATATATATATCCTAAATTCATTACTTCAGACTTATGTGCCCTCTAGAAGCTTGCGTTCTGCAAGTGAACGGCGCTTTATTGTGCCATCCCAAAGAGGCACAAAATCACTTTCACAGACATTTAAATGATCTGTTCCCTCCTGGTGGAATGACCTGCCCAACTCAGTCCGAGCAGCTGAGTCCTTAACCATCTTCAAGAAACGACTAAAAACACATCTCTTCCATCTTTATTTGACCCTCTAACTCTAGCACTCTCTATTCTAATTCTATTCTTTATAAAAAAAAAAACTTGCCCCTTTCAGACTTGCACTCTATTTACTAACTGCTTGTTTTCTTTTTTTTTTTATAAAACCTAACACTTGCTTCTCTAATCTTTTGCAGTCTATCTATTTGTTTTTATTTATTATAATAAATCAATGATTTATTATAAATCATTGGTACAACCCTCCCTTCTCTCCAAGAACTGTACTTATCCAGAGTGAGCTGACTTCTGATTAACAAAAGCAAAAAAGGCATCTAACACTATCTCTAACTCTATTCTTTTTCTATTCTATCGGTTTTCTTTTTATTTATTATATGATTTAAAAAAACCTTGCTATGTGTACTTCATTAAGCTGAGACTTGTTATTGCACTTGCATATCATTGCTCTTTTGTTGATTTTGATTGCTTCCATTGTCCACATTTGGATAAAAGCGTCTGCTAAATGTGTATATGTAAAATATATATATACACATTTTTTTTAATACAAACAAGACACAAAAAGTCTTTGATTTGTGTTTTATGTAAATTGTTTGAGAAGGAAAAACTTTTTTTTTTAAAGATTCAAAATAAGCATTCACAACTTTAGGTTCTTGCTTTCACCAATACAATAAAGCTTTAACACTTTTTGAGAAAAAAACTGCCTTATTGTAAAGTTATTACCAAAGCGAATGCGTTAAAACACTTGATCCTGTTGCAATACTTTTTCTTTTCTTTTTTTACCACAGTTCAGAACATTCCTGGTACAGTGATTGAGTTTATGAAATGATTCCTGGACCAGTATTGAACAGTAAATATAACGTCAGACCTCTTAAGAATATATTACATCATATTCAGGAATCTTCCATTGCAAATGCCACACACACTTTGAAAAAAGCGGTCATTCATTCCTGTACAACTCTGATCAAATTAAAAATCCAGAATTAAAAAAAAAACTAATCTCAAACAAAATACTTCAGTTTTCAAGTATAATAATTTACAGTTTGCAAACAGAAAACAAACAAACTGGAAATTCACAAAAATAGACAATTTACATGTGCTGTGTTTACCAAGAGCTACAAATCATCAAAAAAACTTCTTAGCTGCTGCTTCCTGCTGACTCCTGGAAGTAGGAAAAAAAAAAGAAAAAAAAAAAGAAAAATAAGTAAATGGTAACTCTCGATTTTGTCAAAATAAACCTTTTACAATCCTTAATAATAGTCCTAATATTTGTTCCATTCTATGCACACAAAATGTCCATCTTCAGTGATTTCCATCTTGCCTTTTCATTATATGAACAAGAGAGCTGTTAATTTAATGACACTGGGAGAGATTTCAGTATCAAAATGTCTGAGGAAGCCTTTGTAGGAAGCCAACAGCTGAAGCTTAATGAAGCACCCAATCAGAAACTCTCTTACCATTTACATACCTCTTAAAGAGCTTTGCATGAAGACTGCAACATCAAAATTCACTCACTTGTACATAACGTAGCCAAAGAAGAGGAGGGACTGAACGACGATGAAGATCACAAAGTGTGTGGTAGAGAGGCAGGGGGGTAAAGCAGGAAGTTCAGGACACTTCACTTTCTCTGCAGGATTCTAAGGAATGTCTATATCAGAAATGTTGGTTTATTTTGAACTTACCACATTTTTCTGAATGATGTGCTCGATGCTCCTCTTGACGACATGCAAATGCTCCTTGATGTCATTGAAATGCTGGACTGTCTCATATGATCCTAGTCCGCCTGCGCTGCCCTGCTGCTGACCCATTGCCAGCTGCTTAAGTGAGCCTGACAATGAGTTCCTACAAACCACAACACAACATTACAACATTAGTGCAACGCTTCAATTGCCATTTTAAAAACGGCAAAAACATTCATGATTCAGATGGCATGTAAAGTACTATTAATTGTTCAAGAAGAAAATTGCATGCCAGATGCAGATTGTTTTCTGCCTGTTTACATACAAGGGAACAGTATGTCATACAAGAGGATCTTATCAAACAATCAATTCCTCTGAGACTGAGTGTCACAAGACTTAATCTAGGTTTTAAATGCATAAAACAGCATTAAGCTTAGAATATCTGATCTGATTCCTAAGACAAAGCTCATGCTTTTTGGATTTCATGACATTATTTCTCTATTGTAGACATGAGCATTAGGCATTTCCTATCCTCACTCAAAGCATTAAAAAATTGCAGCAAGTCACGCACCAATCTTTGGAACTAATAGACTTAAACAATTATACATATCGATATATAATGGTCTCCAAAAAGACAAACAACATTCTGACATTTCAATACGTTTCAATGGATAATTCACCTTTCTGAGCGCTCGTGTAGAGAAACGGATTAATATGATATTTTTTTCAATACGACTTCTCACATTTAAAAAAAAAAACAAACAAAACAAAAATCCAAGACTGGAAATACAATTTTAAAATTGCCAGCTATTTTTTTTACCAGTTTTACATGACCATGACACTAATATTCGAATATATATTATTAATAATATTAATATAAATTATATTAAAAAATATAAATTATTATTAAAATATATATAAAATATATAAATAATTATATTAATATTAATATATATTAGAAACGACTAAAAACACATCTGTTCCACCTTTATTTGACCCTCTAACTCTAACACTTTCTATTCTATTTTAATTCTACTTTATCTATATTTATCTTATTTTTTTTATTAAAAAAACAAAACAAAAACAAACAAACACTAGCTTTCTATTTTTTCTATTCTATCTACTTGTTTTTCTTTGTGTGTGTGTGTGTGTATGGTGTATATATATATATATATATACAGAGCCGTTTCTAGCCAATTCTGACCACTGCATAATACATATACAAAACACACATAAACAAAGTTGCAGGTATCACAGGACAACAAAACAGAGACACACCACAT